CGCTGATTATTCTCGTTTTTGCGCGCGCAATAATAATGCAATATACAGTCCATTATCATAATATCATAATGTAAAATTTTCAACTTTTCAACGGCACAACCGTATGAAAATGTTAASTCGTCTCTTTTCAGGGGCGCAACCGATGTAGCGGTTCGTATACTGTGTATAATATTAYTTAATAATAATACGGTATCATAATATCAAAATATTTTAAGAATATTATCATGTAGGTGCCGACCGAGACACGACGGTCGCGTACGATATCGCAATGCGCAAGGTGGAGCGAGATTCTCGCTGTAAGCAATATCAATCTGTTGTTATTATTATGTAGTTTTTCGAATCGGTCGAAAAATGTGTTAATCGCGCGCTTTTTTTTCTCTCTTAATAGCAAATTCCGAAGGGCATCGCAGCCGTGCCGCGTCCAGCACCAATGCCGCGACGACCGCCACGCTCACGAGTTTACGTGCATAATATGCGCGTTATTATTACTACGGACATTCCGTGTCGGGCTCGTGCGTGTGTGCGTGCGGTGTGCGCGCGCACAGTCGACGAAGGCAGCGGCGGCTCCGACGACTAATACGCAACGACGGTGGTAATGGTATGGTATAATGCCGAGGACTCGTTTTGGTCGTACGCCGCCGCCGCCAGTCGGTCGGCCGCCGCCGCCGCTGCCCTCCCGCCCGCCAGCCCGTCACGGCTTTGTACATTGCCACAGCGGACGCCGCTTTGCAATCGGTGGCGGCGGCAATGAATGCTACGACTGTATACGACTACGGCGACGACGACGACGACGACGATGGCGGCGGCGGCGGTGGCGAACGCCGTTTTTACAAAACAACCAGCTATATTATAATATGGTCGGCGGCCTTCCCGCGCTACCCGTCCGCCAACGCTGTTCTACACACAACAACACTACCGACAGTGTTGCCGACACCGACCTCTCTCGTCGTTGCTGGCTTACAAGCTTTAATAATAATAATAATAATAATAATAATAAGGAGAAGAAGAACATTATTATGATAATGACGACGATGACGATGTAGTCCTTAAATAAAATAAATATATCTATTATTATTCGTAGGAATATCGTTCGTCTTGTTGTATTATAATTTTTTTTTTTGAGAATTTTTACTAAAAATTCGAACGGTGAGCAGTACGAGATTAATAACGCACTGCGAAAAAAAATTTCGTAATACAACACGCAAACGCGTCTATACGCGCACTCACACGTTTGTTTTACATAACATTATTATATTATTATTTGCATATATTTATATATTATATTCTATACTATTACATATATAATAATATATAATATGAATACATATGCAACGATAGTGCAACGCGCACGTCATATAATATAATATATTATAATTGTTGTTCGGTTTTAAAGGTGATTGGGTTCGGTGTATATGGCAATGGAAAAAATATGCGTAACGTTGTGTGAACAAAGTACGCGCGATTAAAATAATAATGATAGTAATAGTAATGAATAATGATAATAAAAATAAAAATTGAATAGAAAAACGAAAAAAAAAAACGTTTTCACGCGAAAGATAATAACGTGGAGAGTGCCTGATATAATAAAATAATATGGTCTCGCAGAATATTTAATCACGTTTATCAAACGCGATTAATCCCGATTCGTTTGGACTGCGTTGAAAACGAGGGCGACGAATTTTCACGTTTATTTTTTTGAAAATAAGCGGGCTTTTCGCGGACAGTAGAGAGACATTATAGTATTACTATAACTATTATTATCTCGTCACTACAACCACGGCGCACCTAACGGCAGGCCTCATTGCCAGCAGTGCAGGCAACTAGTAATGTGTGCGCGTGCGCGTGTGTGAATGTATTTGTGTGTATATTATGTGAATTAAAAATATGCAGTACACCGACACACTAAATCCCCGCCATCGTCCGCTTGTCCTTATTTTGTACACGACGACGACGACGTAAATACTAAATACATATTATCTTTCGGCGGCAAACTCGACTTATTATCAGTGACACTAAAAAAAAACACGGTACACTCCGACCTACTACGTTGTTGATCTTGTAAAATCGTAAACATCACGAAATTGATAATAAAAACTTCTTATGGTTTTGTTTTAAAAATCGGTGTCAAGACAAAAATTGTCACGCCAATCTATGCTAGCTATTGTATTACAATTCAGAGTATTTTACAATTTCAGTAAGGCCATGTGGAAAATGATAAAACGTTAGAAAGATAAAAAATATTTTCCTCACTCGCGCGCTCGCGTATACAATAATAATAATAATAATAATGATAATAATTGTTATCATTAAAGCGATKTAATAAAAAAAAAATATTACACGTTTTCTACATATCGGCCATAGCCGATATAAGAGTCTTATTTTCGCCATGTCGATTGTTTTAATTTTCAGTGAAACAATTACGTCCAAAAAGTATTCTATACATATTATTTTATACAGGACCTAGCTGGGGCTATTACAGCAAAAACACTTCGGTTCAGCAAATAACGAATTTTTTGTGAACATATTTTTATTTCTGTTTGCGCCGACCTCTAGGTTTATTATTATAGTCTTCTGAATATGAATCAACTAAAAATAAACTTTTGCGTTCGGGTTATAACGTCTTCTCCTCGATTGAAAAATATGATTGACATTATTTGCTTGTAATATCATACGTAAATATTTTAAGAACTCAAATCGATTTAATAATGTATATATGGTACGTGTTGCATACGGGCGTGCATTTTTATCCATATTGTGATTATGCCAGTTTAATATAATRTTAAACATTTAAACATGGCCACCTAGTAATGATAATTTATCTCGTGTTTAAATGTATAAAATAGTCGTCGACGAAGTAACCGAAGGCTGTTGCGGAGATTCTTCGTGGTGCACGGTGGAGGCGTAGGCTTGACCGGGAATGGGTAGGTGGTAATAGAAACGGTGGAAATGTAATAGTAGTAGTAGTGGTAGTAGGTATAGTAGTTGTAGTAATAATGGTACGATAAGGCCAGGCGAGTGGACGGTGTAGCAGCGGGAAAACCAGGTGTACACATTATATACGCGCATAATATTATAATTGGTAGCGGTGGTGGTGGGTGAGCAGCAAAGAGTGGTGGGTGCGTGGTGAAACGGATGGGAAAAGGGAATGGTGCTACGACGGCGGCCGACCTCGGTCGGGCGCTATTCGCGCGGTAGGTATGCGGAGGAGAATCCTAAAGCTATCACGCTTCGATCGAACGGCTCAACGGCTGTCGTGTGTGGAACTCCGAAAGAGCACTTTTTACCGAACCGGTCGAGGCGACCAGTGCCGTCACAACCGAATAGAGCTTTTGGTACGCTTCGAAAGACTAAACTCAAAATAAGTCAAGAGGTCCAAAAACATATTTAATTAGAAATCATTGATGGACTAGCTTATAATTCGGCACTAAGACGGGCGCAAGACGTGTCTGTCAAGACTTGAGAGTTTGAGCGATACGAGYACAAATTGTTTTGAAGTCGTGGCATTGCATGCATAGTTTCACCTGAGCACGTGCATTCGATTGCCTTCGTCGATAAACTCATATCATTATTACACACTCAACTTTTGCTTGAAATGTAGATAATATCGTTGAATAGTATACTATAACTCCAACAGAGTGTAATAGACAATAGCGAAATCTTGAGAGATGGTAGAAAAATGGGCGGYAAGCACCGCTGTTGCGCGTGCGCTCCTTCATACGTTGCACGTGGTGATAAAGTATTCCATGTATTGTATGGTATCGTCACCGTATTTTAAGCCACATATACACACATTACTGCAATATATATATAATTCAATGCGCCACGATACCGCCGTTTTTGGTTAGGCCTTTGAGTACGGCGGCGGCGAGAGCGCGCTGCTTGCCACGCTCGTTTGGATATTACAAAAATATGCAAGCGATCGGTGTGGTGGTGGTGTGATCCGTATAAGCGGTGGCGGAGTAGTCGGGTAAGCAGTATAATATAGTAACGGTACGATGTTGCCGGCGGTGGGGAGCGGTGCGCGGACGACGATATCGCGACTATGTAGTGGGCCGGCGGTGATGGTCGACGGGTGAGTCGGTGCTGCGCGGGCGAGAAGGGGAATATATATTATACACATATATTATGGAATATATAGTTATAGCGCGTGCGTGTGAGCGTGTGTGTTGTGCATTGGAATAAGCGGAGGAAGTATGTGGTCGGAGGTGGGTGGAAGCGTGGCGGTGGGTGAGCGCTGGCAGCGCGGTGGCCGTGGTGGCAGTGGTGGCGGGGGTAACAGCAACAGCAAAGGAGCGTCGTCAACAACAGCGGCGGCGGCGGCAGTGTTATTCACGAGTAACGCGCCGTAGCGTTTTGTTGCACGCCACTGTACGTCCAGCTCATCCGAGCACACACCAACACGTCCTGCTGATTGCGCGCGCTTAATATTATTAATTAATTCGTGTGGTACAGCACACTCTTAAWTATCGCGATAATTTTTTTTTTTCATCCATCCCCTTCCGTCGGTAGAGAAAATACATTTTTCTCTCCGTCATCATAACGAATCGCGTTTGGGATAATATTCAAATTTCTCCCGATCAGTCACCGACRACCGGCCTAGGCCCGTCTGTTAATCCGTCGTGATCATAATCCTATAAATATAACTGTTTTCCGCGGCATCATTCACTATAATTATCGTTACTGTTATCAGCCGAACGACGTTCGACCARGACTGCACACACGTCTGTTCATCTGTTCGTCCTTCAGTCACGACGGAGTTTCACGCGGACTCCCGGTGGACGGAAACCACTGTCATCGCAAGCGTTGGCAGTGTATGATGTTGGCCCGGCGCCGAAGACGCCGATACCGACGTGACAACGCCACAGCGACCGTGAGGAAGACAGTGACCAGTGGAGCATCAGTAGTAGCGAAAGAGGCAGCGACATCGAAATCGACCGTAGCACCAGCGGTCAGACACATTAGCAACAGCAGCGACTACGCATCAGTGACGACGAGCAGACATGACGACAACTGTGGGCCTGCTATCGCCTTTGTTGCCGCCGACCGCGGTGACCGCTGCCGTGGCCGAAGAGCACCAGCAACAAGACTACTACTACGTACCTCAGCCGCAGCCTACGCGCGTCGTACGCATGAAAATGTGGAGTGACGACGACGACGAAAACAATTATTGCGCCGACGACAATTCGACGGTGAGCATGATAATTTTTTTTATTGTTATTAYAGCTATTAACAATAGTTAGCATTGCGTACTTTTAATATGATATTGTCGTTAAGAAGGGGTGCACTGTAATGTAATTATTTGTATTCGTTTGTATGACCGACGAGGATTGTTGTATTAAAAAGTGGGTGCAAAAAAACCGAAACAAAGGGTTGACGTAAAATAAGTGGCTGGAAGTAGAGTGGCTCGTGTGCGAAGGCGCCCCGTACGATTCAAAGTTCCCGCCAACCGTCGTCGACGTCACCGCCGCCTGATCCACCACCGCCTCCTCAACCGTCGCGGGGTTGACGGCGGCGGCAACGACGGTTCGCGTGGAAAAACATGTGCGTAATGATAACGRCGTCTCTTTCTTCCTTTTACGGGTGATAACTCGACAACTCGTTGACGTCGTTTGGCTTTTATTCGCGCACCGAATTCTTCTGTTTTCGTCTTAAGCTTTTTTACGTCTGTGGGGTTACAGCTTACACGTCTTACTACACGAACTGTACAACTATTATGTCTTGTCTAGTATAATATATTATCGCTGTTTGGCTGGGTTTTATTTTTACGTGTACGTATGCATTGTAATATAATATGTAACATAAATATTTTATTTTTATTTTTATTTGTTGACATTGATTTTCCGATATTTCTTTTAATGCGTATAAAAAACAAAAGTGTGTCACGTATTAAGAGATAATATCGGAATCGATCGATTTTATTCGACGACTAAATCACAATGTCAAATGCCGGTAGTTACCTACGCGGGGTCGCTGTGACACAGTGGTCAGTGGTTTTAACGATTTGGCKCGGCGACCAAATGGGTGCGCGGGACGGGTAGGTCCGAGTCAGGGTGATTATTAATTAACGGCGGATCGATGATGTGGGACGCTTCTCTATCTGTAGCCGCCGCAATATATTTTAATCTCGTACCGTGTTATTAATTTTATAACCCTGATTACACGAGTGTCGACTACAATATCACTTTGTATATTATGTTATTATTGTACCTATAGTAGATGGTCGTTTTTGTTGTTGTTGTTGTTGTTGTTGTTGACGTTGTCGCTGTAATTGTACTTTTTGCGTTGGTGGAGGTGGTGGTGGTACTCGTATTATAGTGGTAGTAGAACGGCATATTAGAAAGCAACATAGTACGGCGYGGCGGCGCGTAGGTTGATACCGCGATAGTGGGGGTGAAGAAGTATGTGGAGAAAGTGTGTTAACGACACGCCACCGTCGACGTTATAACATTTTAATAATATATATATATATATATATTGTAATGAATAATAATATTGGACATGGTCTAGTTAGATACTCGTTGCAAAAAACCGACTCAAATTCGATATAAACATTTTCAAACGGTGTGCATCACTTCGGTGGTCTTGCGTCAAGTGTTTGAGACTGGGAATCATCAATGTACCCTTATTATTCGGTACCTACGCAATAAAATACTGTTGTCGAAGTGGAGCTATTTTATATGCATAGGTTTTAAGGTCTTTGTGTTGTATATTATACGCGAAATTCGGGTTTCTCCGGTCGAGGGAGGGATAGGAAAATTAGTAATAAAGATCGAAAATACAATTCGATTATGTAATTACGTTCGTTAAAGTTGTGGTAGACTGTGCACCTATATGGTGTGATGGGTCCGTTACCGACGATGGAAAGGGTGTGTGTACACCCCCCCCCCTTCCCCGCGAAACCCGTCCTAACGCACCGCCGCCTCCTCCACCACCGACGTCCGATAATAACAATACTAAAGTATGATATCAAAACGGTTGTTTCGTAGAAATTTAGGTGTGCGTTTCGCGCTAATGAGTATCATCTCGCTGTCCGTTTTAAACGCGCAAAGTTCAATAGGTCTCATCGGCGCAGAGAACGCCGTTGCAATAACATTATTATCTCCCGTATTATATTATATTATAATATACCTATTGAGTGAGTAGTTAGTTACTTACGAGACTTGTGGGAAATCTCTGGTCCGCCGTAATTGTAATAAGAGCAGTTTTAATAATATTGCTATTCACTATTCCGTCTATAGTTACATAGTACGTTACCGTTTCGCGTAGGTTAACAATCATAGTAATAATAATAATGTTCTCGTCTTTACGACGCGTGCCCACAGACCRCATTTATGAGGGTAGTTGGACGTTGGGGCTTTTTTTTTGGAGAGAGCGTTTTATCGCGGTACCCTGGTTCTTGGGGCTATGCAGTATTCTCTAACGATTTAAACGAACGGCGGTTATACGGTAGTTATCGACGAGTTCATAAAAACATTTTATTCCTCGAGCGCTATGTCCCGACGCCATCTACACGGGTACCCGGGAAAACGTCACGGCGGAGTAGTTGCCGGATCGGCCGTCAGATGGCGACGTTGTAGCGGTGGCCACCGCTGGATTGTGCTTCGGGTACTCGAGCAGCAACATAAATGTTATATAAGATGAACAACATGCAAAATTACTACTCGAAAAATAAATAATAATAATAATAAATCTAATGCATTATTCGAACGTTGAACACTCGAAACCCGTAAAATACCTTCACATAGTCCATACACTAACCCGTTTCATGTATAACGATGTTTTGAAGTGGACCAAATAAAATTCTGTCACTCGTTATATTGTTATATTGTTAAATATTGTTCACCGCGAAATAATGTGACGTATGGATGGCATTCACGTATATTGATTGTGTGATATTTTATTAACACTTTAGTGACTGAGGACATCCACCGAGCCATATCAGGTCCATAATTTATTTTTATTTCGGTAGATACAAATATAGAAGAGTTACGTATTTTTATCTCAAAATCCTAAACTAATATTTTATTTTTTCCTCAAAACAATATTGGGAAGTTAATTACGGTTATCCAATTATTCGTTAAACTCAAATTATTACTTTTTAGACTAATTTCGAGAGTTTTAGCTCTTTTAAAATTCGTTAAGGTCGGTGGGGGTGGAGGGGAGGTAAATATACATTTTTATTAATTGGGCTTTCAACAATATATTTTTTTAAGAGTACCTATGCTACACCCGCTTGTGTTGTGTGTCCTTCTAACAAGTGTAGAACATGGAAAAACCTGTTTTGCGTAGAAAAAACAGAGAATGCTACAGACATGACTAAACGAAATTTCCACCACACAAAAAGGAAAATTTTGGATGTTATTAAATATCATTTTTATTTTTTCGATAAAATGACTACAAAAAAAAGTTTAAAACTCACAAAAATAATGGATTTTGAAACAAGTATTAATGATGTTGAAAAAATAAGATTTCACAGCTTATGTTCTTTATTATGTTGTATATCAATTTTGAATCTTAGGTATCTCTACCGCTCTAGTGGTTCTATCCCGCGCAAAACAGTTCTTGGTATGTTGTACAATGTACATTTGTTAGACCAAGACAACATATCAGCCTTAGTAGCCACTACAACCTCTTAATTATTAATACTATTACAATTAATTTAAAAGCGTATTTTGAAATTACACGTAATTGACTAGGTAGTTTAAACATTTTTATAAAAGCCAAGTATTTTAGTATAATTTAATAATTAATATTATACTAAAATACTTCATAGTTCATGCAATTAGGATATTATTGTATAGAATGTATATTGTAATATAATGTATGGACATTACACATATTATATCATATTTATAAGATTTATTCAGTCATAGGCTCTTAATTGTATTATATGTATTATGGACAATTTTTTTCCATTCTTATGTTACTACGTTAATAATAACGTTGTTTATTTTTTATCAGATCTATATTAACCTATATTAAATTTGAAATGGTCAAAAATCCCTTTAAAACTTTTTGACAAAAATTGTAAAAATCATATTTATATTTTATAATAATATGTTCAATTATCTAATAATTTTTTTTTTTTTTGCCCACAGAATAGTTTCTTATTACTGAACAACATGGGTATTCATGTTCCTCCGATGACAACAATAAATACAAGCATGTCTAATGAAACTAGCAATGAATCAAATGCATGCAAAAGACGGTTATCTTCGTCATTGGAAAATGATCATATTCCTAAAATAGCTAGGCGTATGGTTAATAACGAGGATCTATTGCTAAATGATCTTATTGTCGAGCAATTGGATTCTGCGTCTCAACTAGATGACGACAATGCAACATCATCAATTGTTGCTGCTATAGCTGCCGTTACTGATGATTCAGATTGTAGTATTGAAGATGATGATGACGATGACGATGATGATGACGAAGATGATGATGACGATGATCAATATTTACCTGCTGGTAGTTTATCACTATCCTCGTCCAACAGTAACAATGTCACAAATTCCACAAATTCTTCTTCATTGTCGACACTGTCGCCCTCCCAACAGCATCACAATCAGAATCATTGGAGGCAACATCACCAACAGCAGCAAACTATCAAATGCGACACTAACGGTAAGTGTTATTTGGATTTAGGTAGCGGTGGTAGCAGCACAACGCTGACAACAACCATGGCTACAATACAACCACGAATCAACAGTGAACCAGAATGCTGTGAGCTAGGGCGTTGTGTACCTTCAACACAGTGTTATAGACGTCGTAGAGCCGCAGTGTTTGATGCATCAATGCGCAAATTAGGAAAATCAAGTGGATCTGGAAATAATGGCTCACAACAAAGTTGCGAAGCTGGACTCCGGAGGTCTGTGCTCATTTGCAACACATTAAGATTGATTGAGCGTGAAATGTCACGAGAAGCTGCTGCTGCAGCTCAACAAGCCCAACAACGCCGTTGCTGTGCATCGTCGCCATCGAATACGTCACAGCAATTGATCCAACAGCAACAGATCGATGCTTCACACCAACATAATAATCATAACAACAACAATAACAACAGACGATCTCCCACACCATACCCCACAGAATACAGAAATGGCCGACAGGAAATTATGGTTGAGCATAACAGCAGTAGCAGTAGCAGCAGCAGCAGTAGTAGCAGCACAACAGATTCCATTGACTCTGGTGTGGACGATGAATACTATTATGATGAAGATGATGATGATGACGATCATCATAGCCATACCACAGTGATGACAAATAATCATCAAGATCTAAATAACCATCATCTCCAATATTACCATTTGAACGGAAGTATTGAAGATTGTGACAATTATATTCATTTKGATGATTATGATGAAGACGGCGATGATGATGAAGATGATGAAGACGATCCTAATAATTCTCCTTTAACAGAACTACAAATTTATGATAACAGTTTCAATAACAAAAGAAACACAGCATTGAGTATTGGGGATCACCATTCTGACGATAACATACTACCATTAATGGGTAATAGTAATACAACAACGGTTACATCTATTGATTGGGGTTCAGTTCTAAGTTTGTCTTCGTCGAATAGCAACAACAATGGCAATAATTCACAGTCTGCGTCGTCAACTTCAATAACATTGATGAATAGTATTGATAGTGATTGTGATGATATCACAACAATAATATCTGCTACAAATCAAGATCGTAAATCTCAACAGCATAAACGTAGGAGGAGACACTATAAACATCATTACAATCATAGTCAAATTCATACAAAATACAGACATCACCATTCCCATCATCATCAAAGGTCGCAAAAACGTCGAGAACGTGGATTAACTACAACATTACCTATGTCAAAAAACAGGACATCAAATTATTAAGTTCAGTCACAAGTAGGCTCTTGTAATAATGAATAAACTACCTACTTAATAATTGCAATAATATGCTCATTGGAAAATTGCAACAAATTTTAAAAAGCATCAATACTAAGTTGTCTGGTTTTGATATTACAATGGCAAACTATATTTACCTAGATGTTTACACATGTACCTGATAGATCACATATTATATAATTTTTGAATGCCTACCTATAAAGGTATGGATATGCAAATAGCAACCAACAAGGATGGCTGTGTAATATTATAACCACCGGGCAGCTCAATTATTATTATTATTATTATTTTTAATTTTAATGTAGGTTATGTTTTATTTTATTATCTCTTATAGTATATATTTGTGCAGACGTATGTTTTCTTTTCCAAAGTAAATTAACAACCAAACATATTAAATTCTCCATCATAACACCTTCACAATAACAGTTTAATGTTTTGCAATAAATATATATGAATGTGTTGATATTATGTCATATAATATGTTAAGAGACTCTTGTTACCATTTTAAAAGTTTTATATATAATATAGTATATATATAAATTTTATATATATATTATTATTATTATTATTATTATTATTACGTATCGTAATATTAGGTAATAAATTATATATTACTATCAATTGTTTTATAGAATTAGTATTCACATTTCAGTTTCAGAAATAGTAACCTCCCCCTCCCCCTCATAGACAAAAAAATAACAATTTTTTATTAAATTTTTTGTAGTATAAATACATATTTTAATTGTGCACCTTTGATTTTATTGAAACTAAAATTATTCAATACACTGTGTAATGTAACAGCATTATACTGTAAGTGATGCGGCCTATTTTATATTTGACAATTTTAGATACTTAATGTATCATTATATCCGTCCATAGATAATTAAACACAAGATAAAAATGATTAACTCATAATAATTATTTAACAGCTGTATTTTAACAAAATTTATTTGTCGTCCAAATAGTAACATTTGTTTTTTCTTTATCAAGATCTCTTTTTTTCTTATATTTAAAAACTTCTATTTGTATGTATACAATTATTTTGTTTGGTTTTTCTAATAAGAATTAGAGTTTTGGTTTATACTATAAATAAAAAGTTGTGTTGTCTACAAATTCAATTATGTACTTATTAATAAAATTACATTGTAATTACAGTATTATTAATTTAATAATAATATATTATATAAATATGTTTAAAAAAGCAATAATAATAAGTAAATTAAATTAATTTTTACTCTCTGAATGCACTGATGATGTTTGTTAATAATAGTAAAATATTGTATTATATTATTAATATCGAAGAGCTGCTCAATGAACCAATATTAGCAACATTGTTTATGAAATTATGTAATTTAAAATATAAATTGTATAGATAAATAAGTTATAAGTATAAATATATATAAACGTGTATAGTTATAAAAATCATTATGTTTATTTGATGAACAGAACATGTATAATATATTATATGATATTGTTGTGGTAATTTAATTGTTTTACCATAATCAAAAGTCGAAAATTACAATTATTTTGTTAAAATAAATAAAGGATAGGTATATATGTGAATTTTGGCTCTTAAAAACATTATTTCTAATATTAAGTTACCTGAAATTCCTAGTTATGTATTACTTTGTTCGTACGTTTATAATAGAAATCGATCGAAACCTATTTACATATGAATAAAAATGAATGAAGTTCTTAAAACTGGACAAAGTACACACCTAAGTAACCTATTCAGGCTGTTCAGCACCTAACTAAAACTAATGAATTGTAATTAAATTTTACATAATATGTTAATACTTAATATTGATGTGGACCTATACAACTAATAATTATATGGTCATACATATTTATTAATTATGAATATTTGCATATTTACGTGATGTTCAGTCTAAGACATGGCATCGAAATGTTAAAAATTCTAAAATAATTTAACCAAGTTTTTTTACATATTAATAAATAGTAACAATATGTAGATGTATTCCATATTTTCTTTTTCGTTTAAGCTCCGGTAGTCTGTGGACTGTGGAGTTATTACTTATTTGAGTTTCAATAGGTGTAAGGCAGGGGGAAATAATGAGCAGCTCAATATTCGTATGGTAAAATCAACCATATTCAAAACTAGTCGCTTCGCTTGCGTAGTCTTCTCTATTGTAGTATTACTAGTATTGTGGTTATGACTTGTCAATTAACTCGACCGTTGTCAGTCGACCTGTTTTCGACGGACGAATCGTATGTTAGCACTTAGCATACGTTAGTATTATATGTTAGGTACTAGGTATATATGTATTTAAAGAATAAAAATTTAGTTAATCGTTCTGAGAAAAAAAATCAACCAGACATTAGTATTTAGTAGAATCCCGCTTAAGATATCTAAAAATAAAATCACTAGCTATAGCGTTCAAGGAATACATTATTATAAATATATTGTTATCTTATAAACATACTTGTTTATAATAAGGTGTAGGTATAATTGAAAAACATTTGTCAAATACATTAGTGAAAACCTTAAAATACAGTTACATAGTAAATATCTTAAATCTAACAACAATTCAATTAAAAAAAAAAAAACATTTTCAAAGATCGAATTATTTCGACACTATAGTCAATCTCGATCACTATTTATAACGACAATATAATATTAATAGTGAAATCATAGAACATAGAACGACAGAACACTTACTAAAAGTGAGCGTATTTTTTTTTTTTTTGAACTATTTCATATTTCAGACTTGAAGTCTAAGACTAAATTCTAATTAAATACATATTATACTTGAAACATGTACAGATCAATAGGTAAAACAACTCACGCTATGAACAATTATTTCTAAATTCAATTGGATAATATTATGTGAAATAATTTAGTTTTTACGAGCAAAGGAAATAGTTATATCCAAACCACAACAGACAAAGACCATGATATGGCCATCTGGTTATTTTCGAGGAGGATATATTTCAATCCTATAATTATATTATACTCTTTCTGTATAAAATCTTTAGAAATTGTTTCTGTAATAAATTACTAATCGTTATTTGTTAACAAGTAACAACTAACTAACGCTCAAAATTTAACCATCGCGATCGGTCGCGTTTAATCGCCCTCATGTGAATATAATGATATAAATACACACATTTTATTTTGCGCGATAATCGCCGCGTTTTTGAAACGCGGAACGCGCGCGATTAATCGCCTAGTGTGTAAGCCACTTAACTCCATCACTTGATATCGGTAAGCAGGTAATATAACAATTTGTTCAGGCAGTGGTCACTGCAGTGTCTAACCGAATTTATACGGTGTACTAAGTGTTCAAGGGGCGTAGTCAGGGAGGGGCTGTTACATTAACACCCCCCGTGTAATACTTACGTCTTATACAGATAAAAATGCATTATTGAAATATAAACCGTGATGTCAATTAAATATTTACATTTTTTCTCATAAACAATTATTTATTTACTTCATTACTTGTAATACGTATGTAGTGTATGTACAATAAAGTATATTTTGTAAAGTTATTCATTTTATGTGTATAATTTTGAATAACTCCCTCCCCTCTTGAAATTCCTAGCTACGCGCCTGAAATGTACTAAGTTGTGGTGTAACTGTATTAGAACATTTAATTTTAAGAAACTTGTATCCAAGCTCAAAGATGATCACTATTATAATTTATAGGTACCTATTTACGAACATAAAAATAATGGTTCTCAACGTCTCATTTAATAACGACGCATAGGCATACCAGGAAATAATATGGACACTAAAATACGATTGTTCTATAATAGTCAATACGTTATAATATAATGTATTAGACCGATTAGGTAATACTATTAATTATAGAACCAATGATTAACACCTAAAGCTATTAATATATATTACCTGCACATTGCACACAATGTTAACAAAAATATTACTAACAAGTAACAATKTTTCAGTTGGAAAAATGTTATACTTTAAAAGTGTTTACATAAAGTCAAAACACTCAAAACAGTCATATAATTTGGTATCATGTAAAAAGTGTATTTTTAGACCATTATGGTCTAATGATAATGGAATGGATATTGATGTACACAATTTGGATTTTGTATATACTTACCATTTATATTATTATTTTAATTGTCATTCTAGAATGTTTGTACACTACTCTAATTGTTGCACCTCTCGATTCTATTCCACACTTAAAATTTAAAGGGACTCATCTGTACCGTATTTTCTGACTTTGTCTAACACAAGTGGATCTAATATATAGGATTGTTAACGTGGTCGTCAAACGTACCAGTTGATCTGATCAAAGTATCAAACAATAAGAATTCTAGAAACAGATTTGAATTAATCGTCAAGCCTGCTTGAGATCGACTTTCTCACATTTTTCATATGATTCCCAAAATTAGTAGCTAAAAACGTAATACAAAAAAAGAGTATCTAGGAAATTGTCATATTTTTAAGTCTTAAAGGAGAGTTAAGACTTAAGAAGTTAATATCGAAAAATCAAAAATGTGGCAAAGTCGACGCAATAGAAAATCACAAGTATGAATCATAAGTTTCAATAGTTTGTGCTCCAACGACAATCGACAAAATTTCTATTTTAATTTTAATATTTATTTTATTACTCTACTGAATGGTCTTATTGAGAAATAGGTTAAAGCAGCGGTTTTCAAACTTTTATTTTTTGCGTTTCACTTATATTATCAATAGCACTATTGATTAAAAATAGAACGATCCAAATTTTACGTAGTTAAATTATTTATTTCTAGTAAATGATGATTGTAATAATTTTATAAATAACATAACAACTATTTCTAATACGAGAAAAAAATTTATTTTTAATTTTCCGATCTACCACCATGCGGCTTTTCGCTAACCCATAACTTAAGAATCACTGGATTAGAGTGATAGAATTATGTTGTATACAAACGTCAAATATTATAAATGTACATAGTATGCAGTGTATGTGTTAAGACAACAATTGAAATTATTAACTATATAATATGGATATAATAAAAACTTTACCTAGTTAATTAGGTTGGTAATAAGTATGTTCATAGGCGCAAATCGTAGCGGGCTAAGGGGGCTTATCCCATCCCAAGTCTTAATTAGCCCCAAATTTATTAGTGTCCCACAAACTATTAAAAACTCAATGTATAAAATATAGTCAGGGCCAAAGCCCTCCCGCCTATAATTGAACCAAATTTGTGCCTATGAGTATGTTTTTATTAAAAGCAAAATAAAATTATGTTATTACATTATTTTATTTTCTTACTTTTAAATGTGACTTGACTAATTGTCATTGTATTTTTGATTGTTAAACATTTTTTTTCTTAACAATTATCATAAATTTGAATGCTTAAGTATAAGAACAACAGTTAATAAAATTTAAGTGATAAATAAAAACATGACTATGTGCAAAACTGTAAATTATTATTAGTTGTAAAACTATTCACATACAAATTTAGTGATGAAGTCAAAAATAAACAAGAAGAATGAAAAATAATTGCTTCTAGTTTCAAATCCA